GGATGGGGGTCGGGTCCTTTTAGGCACATCCCTCGGCTAGCCTGAGACAGCATCTCCACGCTCTAAGTCCTAATCTGTTGCCCTGCCAGCACTGCTTCCGGCCATCCTTAACCTCAGTTCAGGGTCCACTCAGTGTGAACATGCTAGTTCGAATTAGCATAATGCTAATTTGAACTAGTTTTTAAGTCTAGCTGTGCTAAGGGTATATCTACACTAGCCCCCTAGTTCGAACTAGGTTGACTAATGTAGGCGTTTGAACTTGCAAATGAAGCTTCATTTGCATGTTCCCGGGTGGGCACCATTTTTAAATCCCCTTAGTTCAAACTGACTGCCCGCGGCTACACGTAGCAGTCAGAAGTTAATCCAAACTAAGTCCTTAGTTCGGATTAACTGTTACTCGGATTAATTTCTGACTGCTGCATGTAGCCGCAGGCAGTCAGTTAGAATTTAGGGGATTTAAAAATGGCGCCCACCCAGGAACATGCAAATGAAGCCCGTGTGGAGGCAGGAAAAGGGAACAAGGGAATTTGTGTGCAGCCATCTTGGTCTTGTTAACAAGAGAGCAAGAGTCAGGCTAAGTCTGTGGCCTGACAACGCGAGATCTGTAATTAGATGCTGCCTTTGCCTCTCGCCTCCATACGGAGATGAGGATAGAACGCTGACTCTGGCAGGGACCTTGAAATAAGGAGCATCTGGGTGGAACTAAATAACTGTTAGCCATTGGTGTTTGTAATGGGAAGGAGACTAATTGTTATTGTTATTATATCTAATAGACAGTATATAAACTCCTTCATAATTGCTTGTGTTCGAAGATCTGCCTCGGGAGGGGGGGCTTCCCCCCCGTCCGAACCAGTTTTTCCCTTGCTGCAGCTCGTAATAAAACTGCCTCTGGCTACTTGTTGCTTACAAACGCAGAGTGAGGACAATGTTTTCATCCACACACGGGATATTTAAATCCCGGGCTTCATTTGCAAGTTTGAATGCCTACATTAGCCACCCTAGTTCGAACTAGGGGCTAGTGTAGACATACCCTAAGACATAAGGCCACCAAATTTGGCAAGCAGCTGGGATATTTAAATCCCGGGCTTCATTTGCAAGTTTGAATGCCTACATTAGCCACCCTAGTTCGAACTAGGGGCTAGTGTAGACATACCCTAAGACATAAGGCCACCAAATTTGGTAAGCAGCTTCCTCTTATGCTCAAAGCAAGGTCAGGGTTTGGTTGTGCCAGGACAATGGGACGTGCCTGGAATGTGATTGGTTCTCATAAAATGGAAAGAGAGGGGGTCTGCTAGCAGGGACAATTATGTTAAGAATGACCATGGGTGGAGGGCAGGTGCATCAGTAAGAGGGTGCCTGGCTAGGGCTGGGGCTCTGGATGTTGCCAGCCACGCTACCCAGGTAAGGTTCCCATGCTGGTGAGCCTCCATCCAGGCAGCATGGCCCCTCCCACCCTGAGCAGCCATGGGAAGCTGCCACCCGGGCCGTGTGGGCTCCCCTCCACCCCCGCCAGCCCCAGGGAACCACCGCCTGGGAACCTGCCACCCAGGCAGTGTGACCTTCGTTGCACCAGTGAGCCCCACGAAGCCGACATCCAGGCAGCATAGTCCACCCCTACCCCCTCACCCCGCTGACCCAGCCTTGCCCTGAGCCTCCCAAACACCCGACCTCCTGCCCTGACTCCTGCACCCCCCACATTTCTGCCCTGAGCCCCTCCTCAACCCCCAACCCTCACTTCTGCAACCCCCCACACACCTCCAGCCTCCTGCTCTGAGCCCCCCACATCCCCAAGTCCCTGCCCTGGCTCCTGCACCCCCTATGCCCCTGCCCTGAGCCCCTCCTTAAGGACCCAAGCAACCAGGGGTCAATGGGCTAGTAACTAATAAAAATGGAAATCAGGCAAGTCTAACGCTCCTCCCCAGGGCTGCACCTGCCCAAATTGCCTCTTGTCACAGGCTGAGGCCCTGGTATGAGCCAAAGCCTCCCTCCATGATTTCAGATCTGGTCTAGAAGTGCCAGAAGAGCCACTCCTGCATCTTTCTGCAAATTCATTCCACCAGCACAGACCCTTAATCCCATCCCCCAAGGGCTGGGAAGACTGGAGCCAGGATCGTGCTAAACCGGCCACAGACCTAGGACCTGCTGCAATGGATGGACCTAGGGTCAAACTCCTCTCAGGTCTGGGCTGGCTGGTTGCAAGGTAGCTGCACTATTGATCCTGGGTGGGGAGCGGGCGGGTGATCCCTGAGCAGCCAGGGCTAGTTGCGCCAGGGTCCCTGCCTACCCCATGTGTATAGGAATGAGTCTTCCAGAGGAATTGGCTGGAGGAACTGGCAAGGGGGGAGGTTTGCCCTGCAGGCCCCAGGCAGTGCCGGAGAGCTGCGCTCCTAGGCGTGCAAGCACCGGGCACAAACAGGGTGATGTTAGAGATCCTCAGCCCTAAGCATGTGTGGGTCTCAGGCCTGGGCTTCCTGCATGGCCGGGACACGGGGTAAGGACGCGGTGGGCTGGTAATGGGCACGTCTGTGGAGATGAGGGCTCCAGTGGGATCCCTGTTGCACTAAACACGCCCTTCTCAGCCAGCCCCAGGGCCCATGGGGCCTGCCCCATTACTGCAGGAGCAAGTCCCCCTGTGCTCCCTGCCAGGCTCAGCTCAGCCTTACCCTCACAGCACCCATGCTGGCCTGGCCTGGGACTGGCTTGTTATGAAGGAAGCCACCGAGTCTCCTTTCAGTTTGTGCTGGTGTCCAGAACTGCCCCCACTCGCTACCCCTCAGCCATGCGGCTGCACTGGCCACAGCCTGAGGGAAGCATCAGGCACCTGGTGGGGCTGCTTTGCCCAGCTGGCAGGGATACCACCCTACCCAACCAGGGAGTGCCTGGCTCCCTGTGCCACATCCAACATGGAATGTGCCCCCTCCCCTGGCTGTGCCACAGAGGCCTGCCCACTGGCCCTGGCCACACGCCCTCCTCTCTCTTTGTCCTCCCCACACTGGCCAGAAGGGTGTGGGGAAGCGATGGGGCTAGGCAGTGAGGCATACCTGGCTCAGGAGCAGTGAGGGGAGACTGAAGGGGGAGCAGGACTAAGGTGGAGGATGGGGCAGCCGTGAGGCCGGGCTGAGGGGGACAGCATGATTAGTTTTCTGCCACTCTTTCACATTTCCTGGCCCCACCGAGCTTCCTCTCCTGCGGCCGCTGCCACTCGCCCACAAGCACAGATTGAGCTGCCGGTTAGGAAACGCTTTGAGCTGCCTCCTCGCCCTTCTCGCTCACACTCTCTTTCACTTTCGAGTGATTTTTGTCCCTCTCAGACAGTCCCACGCCGGCAGCAGCCCAGCAAGCGGCAGAGGCGTCGGAGGGACAACACAGCATCACTCCCATGGATACCCGCATGCAGGACCCACTCCTGGGAGCACCCGGCTCAGCATATCAGACCTTCCCACAGCAGGCTGCCCGCCCCTTGGACCGGGAATATATCAGGTAGGAGCTGGGCTTACCCCGCAGGGCGCTCTCACCTGGAGGCTGGGTCCCACGGACGGGAGCCCAGGGGTGGCCCTTGTTCTCCGAGAGGAGCATGTACAAGCTACCCGCATGCAGGACCCACTCCTGGGAGCACCCGGCTCAGCATATCAGACCTTCCCACAGCAGGCTGCCCGCCCCTTGGACCGGGAATATATCAGGTAGGAGCTGGGCTTACCCCGCAGGGCGCTCTCACCTGGAGGCTGGGTCCCACGGACGGGAGCCCAGGGGTGGCCCTTGTTCTCCGAGAGGAGCATGTACAAGCTACACACTTAAATACGGGGAAGTAGGAAAGAAAAGCCAAATTTGTTCCTCGCTGTCAAGGATCATTCTGGAGTCGTTGGGATTCAGGTGGCAGCTGGAGCTCCAGTCGGGCCCCGGGGCCCCGCTGTGTCAGGTGCTGTACATGCACATGGAAAGCCAGGCCCTGCCACACACAGCGGGTGGTTTAGTTGATGTTCAGAGGCAATGACAGAGTATCACAGGCAGAGGGAAGGAGTCGCAGCAGGGACAAACCGGCACCACTGCCGGGGGACTGCTAGAGACACTGTGGAGTGTGAGAGGAACCGTGAGGTGTTCCTATGCTGCTGACCCAGGCTACCAGCGCACAATGCGAGATGGCCCTGAATCGCCGCGATGCCCCTTCCCGGCCCTGCTGCTATATGGTAGCCAGCGCTCAGAGCTCTGTTCTGTCACCAGGACTGCTGGCTGTGCCAGGCTGGTGAGGCTGAATGCTCAGGCCTCGGGGGGGCTGTGGGAGGCTGGTGTGTGTGTAGAGGGGGCAGGGCCTCAAATGACAGAAGGCTAATCCAGTGGTCAGGGCTGTAGCTGAGGGCCTGAGTTCAAGACATCCTGTGTGATTTTGGGTAGATCGCAGCCTCTCTCTGCCTCATCTGCTCCGCCCTACCCCAGGAACAGAAGCCCAGCCCTGGCGGGCTGGCGGGCTGACCATTCTGAGGACTGTGAGACGCTCACCCAGGATTTTAGCAGGGGCCGGATAAGTGTCTCTGGGAACGGCCACACAGCACTGACCGATCACAGCAGCTCCACGGACGCCGGCTCTCAGGGCTTGTGCTGCGGGGCGAAAAGTAGCAACACAGGCATTCAGGCGTGGCTGGAGCCTGGGCTTTGAAACCCTGCGAGGGGCAGGAGTCAGAGCCCGAATGGCTACCCCTTGTGGGCTGGAGCCCCACAGTGCCAGCCCTGGGAGCCGGAGGCTCGCTGTCATGGGGAGCGTTTGCTGTGTCGCTGTAGCTTTAGGGAGCGACAGCGTTGTGCTCTGGAACGGCCCAGCACCTTCACCTGGGCACCAGAGCTAGTAAGAATGAACTTTCTGAAGGAAACCTGCCCTCAGATAGCCACACATGCACGCAAGAGTTCGAGAGAGCGGGAAAGGCAATGCACTGCACAGGGCATGGAGCCAGCCCCACCACTTCTGCATTCTGCCGCCCGGTTCCTGGAAACTGTCAACTGAGTTTAAAGACCGCTCTGACTTTGAAAAGGCTCATGCTTCACAGCCCAACCTATCTGACAGCTCCAGCCTCCCTCCTGCTCTTATAACCCCCAGGTCCCTGGTCTCCCACTCACCACAAGACGGCCTAAAGGGGGACGCTTACATAAGGGCCCATTATTTCAAAGCGACTCTATTTATGCATTAACAATAATGTCATGTGTAAAGTGCCCCCTTATACAGGCCCGGCTCAGGGCTCCACATAGCAGAAAGGCGCTTGACAATCACTGCACCTGCATTTTGCAGACTCTGTGACAAACACAACCAAGTAGGGCTGGAAAAGAGTGGCCAGAAGTAAAGCGGGGGAGGGTTGGGATGGGGCAATAGGAATGGCCAGGAGCCTCGGAAGGAAAATCCTTGGAGAGAAATAGGGGTTGATCTGATGGTTTATTGTGTTGAGAGAAATGTTAGCTTAATATACCCACCACCACCGCTGCACACTGACCCCTTCCCTTCTTTCCTGCTTTATCCCTTGTCCTGTCTTCCTCCGACAGGACCCTCCAAAACAAGCGTCTCTTTCTAGCCGCTTTCGCTGCCGTCCTAGGGAACTTCAGTTTCGGGTACGCCTTGGTTTACACGTCCCCCGTGATCCCGGCCTTGGAAACATCCAATATCCCTGCCTTGAAAATAACCCACAAGGAGGCATCCTGGTTTGGGGTAAGAAGGGGAGTTTTCCTCTGCTCCGTAGCAGGTCATCCCTCCGAGAGGGAGAGCTCTGAGGGGGCAGCCAAGCTATAATGCTGGGCTATAGATTCCATAAGTGACTAGACCCCTGGAAGGGCCTGATTTTCAGAGGCAGGGTCTCTGCACTTTCTGTAAATCGGGCTCCCCTTTTCAGGAGTCTCATATTGGGCCCCCATAAAAAGCGAGACCAGGGTGTAAGCCCCAATGACTGTGAAAGGGCAACATGTATGTTGCTTCGGGAGCCACCCTGTGGCTGCGGACGGAGGTGCTCTGAAGGGGAAACAGCCACCCCAGGCTGCCCAGTGGTGGGAGAGGAAATCTCCATGACTCTGGCAGAGATACATAGGAAGGCCTGACAGAGCGTTGGTAGAAAACAGCAGCTCTAGCAGAGAGGGCTTTGCAAATCTGACAGTCACTGAAAGCCGGGTTCATGGGTATCAACTAGGGATGTAAAATCCCATTTAATGGGTTAAACACAGCGCTCCCTCAGGGGCATGGGCGGGGTGGGGCTAGAGGGGCCCCCACCACAGACAGGGGCCCCCACCACAGACAGGGGCCACTCCAGCCTGCCGTTGCCATGGCTCCCAGCCTCCCCACAAGGGGACCCAGCAGGGCTGGAGCAGCCTTCCACCTGCAGCTGGGCTGCGGACGGGGGCTGCTCCCAGGTACCAGGAGAGTGCTGGGTAACGGTTTCACCGACTACCCGTTAGCATCCCTAGTAGCAACAACGAGTGTAGCCATGCCGGTCAGTAGGGCCAGGCTGTCCCCGAATTGCTGTGTGCTGGGCCCAGCGCCATTGTGCAGCTCCTCTGCGCCTTCCCTTGCAGTCCGTGTTCACGCTGGGCGCTGCCGCCGGAGGCCTCAGCGCCATGTTCCTGAATGACCGTCTGGGTCGGAAGCTGAGCATCATGGTCTCCGCTGTCCCCTCCGCTGTCGGCTACGCCTTCATGGCCGGCGCCCAGGGACTCTGGATGCTGCTGCTGGGGCGACTGCTGACGGGCTACGCGGGCGGCGTGACGGCCGCCTCCATACCGGTAACGAAGCTTCCATGAGTGAACAGCTCGTAGCTGCTCTCCCTTGTCCTCTCCTTCTGGGCGGGGGAATGGGATTCGCCAGCCTCCGGAGTTAGTGCACTAAGGTTTTTCACTCCTGGAGAGAGGGCTACCTGTTGTCCGGGTTACCCCTGCCGGGCCATTGGAGTTGGGATGCAAAAACGAGGCCTGGCTGCTGCCGTAGCAATGAACGGCCTTCTGTGGAGCATCACAGGAGAGTCAGGTGCCTGTTAGAAGCTGAGTCATGGGACACGAGCCACCTGCCTTGCCTGGCACCAAACCAGCCCAGATCAGCGGTGCCTGTTACTCACTGGCCACAGGGCAGTCTATGTGCAATGAGTTTGCTGGCCTCAGTCATGTTCTGCTTGCCCTGGGGTGCCTCTCCCTGGCAATCACTGTAGAGAAGGCAAGCGGTGAATGGGCGGGCCACTGAGCTGCCGTCTTGTACGGTTGGTTCCCCTGGGGCTGAATGAGGCAGGGCAAGGAAGGAGGGGCAGTTTCTGTGCTCTGGCAAAGGAGAGAACTAAGGCCCCGAGAGCTGAACAGCTGGGACGCGCACACCCACATGAATAGGGACTTTGGTCTGTGCTGCTGTCTTCGTTATGGTTACTTCCTCCTGCACACAGGATGCATTGACGGTAATATCAGCTCAGGGTGGCTTAAAATAGGGAAGGCAGGAATTAGGCAAGAATGAACATAATTGGGCTGTGGTCTTGCTCCATTCCTTGCCATGACAACCCAGATGACTCATTTACAGCAGGGCTTTTGTTTCCCATGGGGCTTTTCCCACAGTGCATCCCCGGCAACACGCTGTAGAGTTTGAGGAGTGATGCACACCCCCTCTGCCCCATAACCATGGTATTACTCCCTTCCAGGTCTATATCTCCGAGATCTCTCACCCTGGGGTCAGAGGAACATTGGGCTCCTGCCCTCAGATCATGGCTGTTCTTGGGTCCCTCATCCTGTACGCCCTGGGCAAGTACACATATCCTTTGGTATTCCGAGGGGTGGGTCAGTCCCTGAGCACACTCTGAATATATGAATGAAAAGAAGCAGAACCCAGTGAGAATTCCAGAAGGCAGTGGGACCACCCAGCAATGTTCCCTCTAATCTTTTGCATCCATGGGCAGATTTTTTCCATCTGTGTGTGGAATAAATTTTGTTATGGGCACCAAAGCAGGTACAAATGTGCACCATGAGTAGAAACATAAAACCTAGCTGTGGGTGCTCTGCTAGTCAGCTGGAAGGCAGCTGAATCCCTCCTGAGTGGCCGCACAAGTGCACACCTGACAAGGAACACTGCCACGCAGCTAAGGTCGTCTCAAGGGATGAGCGTCCGCTGCTATAGCATCTTGGCTGAATTCTGTTGAGTGTTTCCCCTTCACTCTGCAGAGGAGACTGGGGAAAAGCCCGGCAGTCAGATGTGTACAAATAATGGCCACATGCCCGATGGGGGTGGATTTGCAGCCATGACGTTGCTATTAGTGACTCAGCACAATCCAGAGTGAAGAAAGATTGTTTCTACCGCTGTGCACCGGTGAGACCAGCTGACTGTGAAAGGAGCCTTCTCCCATATGTGTTGGGTGCTGCCAGGTGTTGGAGGCAGGCACCGCATTGGAGGGTCTAGCTTGAGCAGCTTGAAACTTTTCCACTCAAACACTTTTTCTGATGGAAAATGGCTTTTCCAAGTGGATTTTTTCATGAACCAAATGGCCATTTTCATCCCAAATGTTGATGTTTTTGTTGAAAAACTCAAAAAAAAAAAGTCCATAGCTGAAAATATTTAGGTTTTTGGTGCACACATCATGCCACCCGTTTTTTGTAATTGACTCTCCTCCCTTTTGTGGGGGGGGAGGGCAGGCTGGGGATCCTTTCCCCAGCAGCCCTGCCTTGAACATCCTGCCACTGCTTCCTGCAGGCCTGAAGCTGCCCTGGCGCTGGCTGGCCGTGGCTGGGGAGGTGCCGGTTCTCACCATGATCATCTTGCTCTGCTTCATGCCCGACTCGCCCCGCTTCCTCATCTCGAAGGGCAAGGAGGACAAGGCGCTCCAGGTCCTGCGCTGGCTCCGGGGACCCGACACGGATTTCCACCGGGAATTTGAGCAAATGCGAGAAAGCGTCTGGCACCAGGTGCAGTGGGACGGGCTGTGCTGGGAATTCAGGCTAACGGACAGGAGAACCGCAGCTCCTTTCCCCCCTCCAGCGCCGACAGGCTGTAAGCACCGTCCTGTGCCAGCACCCCTCTGGGAAAAGCAGTGCAGCCCAAGGGAGGAGGCCTCAGGACACAGGCGCTTTGTGGCTGGAGCACCCATGGGGAAAATTAGTAGCTTCCCTGGAGTGGGGCAGATCTGGGGCAGAAGGCAGGTCTAGCACCCCACGGTTAGAGGGGAGGACAGCGCCTCTGTCCTAGGCCACCAGGGGTTCTGTTTCCAGCCCTTCTGGAGGACCTCAGGCTGTTCACTTCCCCCTCTCTACAACGGGGTACAGAGACTTCCTCACCACTGAGAGACGCATGGAGATCCAAGAATGAAAACGCCCCAGATGCCCCCACACACACACACATTCCCCCGCTCTGTTCTTTGGGTGCTGGATCTCACCCGGAAGCGCACACGCCTGTTCACCTTTCCGCTCTCTGTCCGTGTGTCCAGAGCAAACGGATTTCCTGCGCGGAGATCAGGGACCCGTTCATTTACAAGCCGATCCTGATCGCGGTGCTGATGAGGTTCCTGCAGCAGCTCTCGGGCGTCACCCCCACCCTGGTGTATTTGCAGACGATATTTCAGAGCACCTCTGTAATATTGGTAAGTCCGAGCAGGGCCGGGGCGTGCCACCGCCCTCAATCAGATACGAACATGGAGAGTGTTTTGATTTTCAGCTAAAGCCTCAGGTACTGGCCCCACCAGCTGAACTCAACAGATCCTGCCCCTCTTCAGAGCTGCTCTGACCCATCCAATGGCTCTTTGCTCCCGGGACTAACTATTCAAATGACTAGTGATTCTGAATAGTTGAATACTAGTGGGCCCAATTTGAGATGCCTTACAGGGCCTGGTTGTACCGAAGGTGTTGAGCACCCACCCCCAGAAAACCAGGCCCCTCTAAGGAGACTCAGGGAAAGCACCAATAAATTGAGATGCCCAAAGTCATTACTCACCTCGCAAAATGTAGGCAGATGTGTCATCTTCTGTTCTATCCTTCCCCTTTCTTCCCCTCCCCAGACATTCTGAGCCTGTAGAGCGGGGGTGGGGAACCTACAGCCTGGGGGCTGGATCTGGCCCTCAGCTTGCCCGGATCTGGCCGCTGAGGCTTAGGGCTCTCCGCCCACAGCATTGGGGAGCTGGTGCTCCAGCCCTGTGGTTCCCCCTCCCACCCAGACCCTGCATCCTCCCTCCATTCCTGCACCCTCCTTCCTGTCCAGCCTCCCAACCCCAGTTTGCTCCTGCACCCCACCACCCTCCCACACCAACCAACCCACTCCTGCCCCCTTCCCTCCAGCCCAGGCCCCACACCCCAAGCCCACTTCCCAGCAGCTCCCTCGCATACACTGACCTCCTCAATTTTGGCCCCACCCGAAAGCATAGGGGGGCCCACAACATCCACTAGCCAGAGCCCCCCCAGGCTTTGGTGTGTGAGGGGAATGTGTTTGGGGGGGCAGGAGTTTGCTTCCCACTTTTGTGTGGCCCCCTCTGTCAGCGGTTCCCCTCCCCTGTTGGGGAAGCTGCTCAGGTCATCCCCAATGGCATAACTGGGGCTGCATAAGCATGGAGGGTGGCGCGAGGTGCTATGGGGCACGTGGGCATCAGTAAACCTGAAATATTTGTATTGGAGTATCAACCAGTGCTCCCCCATGCTACGTCCTTCCCTGAGGGCCGGCTGGCTTCCCCCTTCAGCCACCTCAGTCTGCGGCGGAGCATTTTAACGGCATCGGTGCTGATTCCCCAGTTCCAGTCAGTTGCTTTCACCCAGGAAAACATCCATGGCAATAGCTAGGAGCCCCCTCTCTGTGCCCTGCAGCAGGAAACCCCTGGTCTCCAAGTGGGAGTTTTTTCCTGGCCAAGTCAGTCCCCTGCTATCTCACAGCCATGGCCATACACAATGGACTCCCTCATTGGCAATGGAAATTCACTCACATAACAAGGGGGACAGAACTTGCAACCCTCAGCTCCAAAGTCACAAGCTTCTAGCATTTGGGCCAATGGCAAAACCCCTAGGAGAGTGTGTCTCTTTTGTGGGTGACAGTCCCCACTCTCACGGAGCTGATGTTCCAGCCATTGGAGGGCAACAGTGGGACTCCAGCACACGCCCCTGTCATGTGGGACTCGAACACACACACCAGTCATACATTACACCACGCAATTAGCAGCCTCCCTTAGGTTTTCCCAGTTACTCCTAGTTTATTGGGTCTAATTAAAGGAACCATTTTTCTGTGGCTTTCACAGAAATAGCTTTTGTTCAGTTCCAGGGCTCAGACCGACAGTGATGCAGGCAGGAACCCGTACAGCCCCAGGTCTTGCTGCTGACATTCCTCCTGGGTTTTTTATTGTAGAAGCCAGAGTATGATGCAGCGATCGTAGGGGGAGTCCGCTTGGTGTCTGTGCTCATTGCTGCGTTCTCGATGGACAAAGCTGGCAGGAAAATTCTTCTCTACCTATCAGGTACGTCTAGCCCCAAATCCCATGGCGTTTTCGCTCCGAGGGCGCTCGTTCATGGCTGAGATGAGGCAGCCATGAGGGGGCCCCTCGGCTTGTTTCTCTTGGGCTATGTCTAGACTGCATCCTTCTGCCGACAGAGGGATGCAAATCAAGCACTTTGGAAGTGCAAATGAGCCCAGGATTTAAATATCCTGGGCTTCATTTGCATACTCACGTTCCAACACTGTGCCGATGAGTACAGGAGCTGCTGAAAAAGCTCCCCGCTGTCGGCAAAGCCGCGGCTAACTTTACTTTCACTTTTGACACTGAGCCTGATCGGCACAGCGTTGAAACATGAGTATACAAATGAAGCCCAGGATATTTAAATCCTGGGCTCATTTGCACTTCCGAAGTGCTTGATTTGCATCCCTCTGTCGGCAGAGGGATGCAGTCTAGATGTAGCCTTGGCGCGCTTGAGTGGATTGTGGGAGATGACACACCAACAGGTGCGATTCTGATGTGAGGCCTGGGTAGGCCGGGAGCCGTAACGTAGAACTTGGTGGCATTCCACCGAGGGAGCTGAGAAGAAAACTAGGCCTAAGCTTTTCATTTCTTTACTCTTCCTCTCTAACAGCTGGGATCATGTTAGCCTCCAACCTGACCCTGGGCCTCTACATCCACTACACACCAAAGCCTTCTCACAACTCTACCCTGGCCGTCATGAACGGGACCACTGTGAGCCCAGAAAGCCTTACGGCAGAGCCCTCGCACTACGTCACCCTCATCCCCCTGGTGGCTACCATGCTCTTCATAATGGGTACGTACCAAAGGGTGGGATTCCACCCCACAGTAAGCCCCGGTGCGTATTTGGACTAAGCGTCCTGGGCCACTGTGATAGGAGCTGAGAGGTTCCACGCCCAGGCAGGGTTTGGGGCAGAAGAAAATGCTTCTGTGGTAAAAAATCAGCCCCTCAGAAGTGTGGGGTGTTGGACTCAGCGGTGTGAGCCAGGGAAGGGGCCAGTAGCACAGGCTGAATGTATTGGGCACATGAATATTGCCACCGTTTTGGGGTTGCTTTGATTATTCTGAGCCTTGCCCTCAAGGGTAGGCAGCCAACTGCAGCTGGATGCAAAAATGGATCCCTCGTTGTCTCACTCATCCTGGTAGAGGGGCCAGTTGAAACAGAAATAGGAGCAAGTCATGAGTCAGAAGTTGGCAGGGAACTTTTCCACTCCCTGCTTCCTATGGTCCTCTGCTCTTCTGATCTGTCCTTCTTCTCCCACCAGGTTATGCCATGGGTTGGGGCCCCATCACCTGGTTGCTGATGTCAGAGATCCTCCCTCTGAAGGCCCGTGGTGTGGCCTCAGGCCTCTGTGTCCTCGTGAGCTGGCTCACTGCCTTTGCTCTGACCACAGTCTTCCTCCCAGTTGTGGTAGGTATAGCTAATGGCGGCAAGTGGGGTTGGCCTGATGGAGGTCTCCAGGGGTTGGTGTGGTGCTAGTTCCTCCAAGCTTGCCATCCCTGAGGAGCAACATGGCGGCACACCGGCCATTCCTGGCAGGGACGCGGACGGGTGACACAAAGATGGCACCTATTTTACCCAGGCACCAGCAGCCTTGCCAGCTCACGCCATTTTCTCACAGCTCACGCCCTGTGAGGTGAGGACCAGAGAATCTCAGCTTTCTCTTGTTTTCAAAGTGTATTTCTAGCCCTTGTGATTGCAGTGCAAAGCTTAAAAACCCACCACGAGAGCAACTTTGAGACCCAGAAACCAAAAGGCAAATAGAAAGAACCTGAAAATTATTGTTATTTTTTAAATGTCATGATTTTTATGCCAATCTCTTGATACGGGCCTTGAAAAACGAAAGAAAAAAGAAACAAAAACAGAAGGGGCTGGTAATAAAAGCCTCCTCCAAAACGTCATGCAGCCATGACACACGAACACTTGGCTTCCCCCCGGTAGGCCTTCAAGGGGTGCGTCTACACTGCACCCATCCCTCGAAATAAGCTATGCAGTTTGAGCTATGCAAATTGTGGCGCTTATTTCAAGTTAATTGCAAAATAGCTTCTTTTGTAATGTGGTGTGGTCCACACAGTGCCAAATTTCAAAATACCTCGCTATTCCGAAACATCCCTTACTCCGCCTGGAACGAGGTTTACAGAGATATCGGAATAGCGCACCTGTTATATTTTGAAATAATGGACTTGTTTCAAAGAGGCGGAATAACTATTTTACCTGTTATATTTTGAAATAACGGGCTTGTTTCAAAGAGGCAGAATAACTATTTCAGGAAGTATCCCGAAATAGCGCCGCAGTGTAGACGTACGCTAAATGTCTTCCAAACAACGGGCAGTGTCACTGTCTCCATTTTACCGATAGAGAAGCAGCGAGGCAGAGCCCAGGGTCACACTCCATAGCTGGGAACACAACCCGGCTGTGTTGACTCCCAGCCTATCTCCTGGACCACTGCCTATTGGCCCAACACAACCCGGCTGTGTTGACTCCCAGCCTAGTGAGTTATCTCCTGGACCACTGCCTATTGGCCTCTTCCATCCAAGGCACACTGAGATTATTAACCAAATAAGCCTCCCTTATTAGAGGGGAAAACTCAGGTGCAGAGAGATTAGGCGATTTGTGCAGGCCCACACACCAATTTCGAGGCTGAGTTGTGAGCAAACCTCATCTCCTGCCCTCACGTACCCAAGCCATAACTCCAAGGCCATCCTTAAATCTGTAAGAACAGCCATGCTGGGTCAGATCAATAGTCCATCTAGCCCAGTGTCCTGTCTTCTAACAGTGGCCAATGCCAGCTGCTTGAGGGTGCATCCCTGACCATCTTGGCTAATAGCTAGTGATGGACCTACCCTCCACGAACTTCTCTCGTTCTTTTTTGAACCCAGTGGTGCCATTCCCAACAGCCCTCAGCAATGAGTTCCACAGGTTGACTCTGCATTGTGTTCCCCCTCTATGTCAGATGTCTGAAGACACAGAGGGAAAGCGTCAACTTACCGCTTCTCTCCATTTCCTGCAGTCTTTTGCAAACTCTCTTTCAATGCACTCTCGGCTCCTGAGTCACGCCAGCCCTTTGTTCTCTTTTCTAGCAAGCCTTTGGCCTCGAAGTCCCATTCCTGTTCTTTGCAGTCATCTGCGCCGGGAACCTCATCTTCACAGGCTGCTGTGTGCCAGAGACCAAAGGCCGGTCCCTTGAGCAAATCGAAACCTTCTTCCGGACTGGGCGGAGATCCATCATGAGGAACCACGTATGAGGATCCTTTAGGAACCGCCACCTGCTCACTGAGCTTTCAAAACAACATCTTACATGCCAGGGGACGTGTGCTGCCAGAAGCAGAACCTGACATTTTCTCTGTGCCCGCAAGGCCTGCAAACACCATGCATGCGGGCTTGTTGGGGACGGCCTCATTGTCTTTGAGAACCACACGCTGGAATTTCACTTCCTTTTCAAGAGTCACTCGACACTATTCTAAGGGGTCTCCGAGCAGCTCGATAGTGGTAGGTACCCTACGGCCCGGGAGCCATATGGCCCATCAGGGTTCTATGTGAGGCCTGCCAGCCATTTTTTGTTTACTGTTGCCCACGTGCAGGGTTGCTAGATTCTGCTGATTTCCATCCGCATCGTTTTTTTCCTACTAGCATTACTAAAGTCACACGCATATAAAGCCAGGGCATGTGAGGTGGGGGCTGATTGCTCATAGCGCTCACTGTGAGAGCCGGGCACTCCCTCTGCCTCCAATCACAATGCTGCTATGGTTCGGTCTGTACCCCGCAAATTCTAGGTACCCAGCACAGCCCCTGCCTGTAGCGGGAGAATGGGAGGTGTCTTCCAGCCCAGCAGCAGGTGGGGGGGTCTCCTCCAGCCAGGCTAGAACCCCCTTCTCCCCCCCCCCCACACACACACTTCCCCCCTTTTAATCCATTAACCAATAAAACAATGTTCAACCAGTTCACTAATGAAATGGAATTTTAATCCCTAGGAGGTGCAGACACTATTTTCACTGTGGTTGCTGACAGGTCGGTCTCCTTCTCCCGCCAGCGACTGTTCTAACAGAAAGGGCATGAGAGTTGGTTTTCTTCCCATGTTCTGCCAGTGACTCAGGCAGGGGAATGCCTCTCCGGGAGACGTGCTGGCCCTCTCCTCTTGGACATCTCAGCGACTCATGGTTAGCAGCATTTGCCCACCGCCACCCTCCGCCACATCAGCACAGGGCAATCCAGCCTCTTGCAGGCTGACGGTCTCACTCTAGCACTAGCCAGGGCCCACACTGTCCCTGGGGTAAACACAGCCCTGCAAGTAGATTCTGAACAGCTGCCCAAACCCTAGGGGCTCAGCGTTTCCAGACCATCAAAGGCTCAGGGTTTGGACTGATGGCCAGCCCCACAAACGCTGTCCCAGCACGACTGCTCCCTTGCATGCCTACGACACCTCAATGCACTTAACTGGGAGCAGTGGGATGAAATGAATAAATGGTACATTTGGGCTGGATGTCAGGGAAGGTTTCCTAATACTGAGACCTCCGGTATTCGCCTGGAGAACGGTCCCCCCAGGTACTGAGGGCTCCCCCATCAGATGAGTGATTTCAAAGTGCATGGGACAGACGAGCAGAAGGCAGAGATGGGTCAGAACCTGAACTCCAGCTCCAAACTCCTCCGGACGTCAGGAAATTTCAGCTCAAGACCCAAACTTTGCTGCTCAGGCTCAGCTCTACCGTGCACTGGCTAGGGATTGACAAAGTGCGACCAAGCACTATGAGGGTTCCCCACAGCTCTCAGATGAGTCATGGATGCTCAGCACACTACCGTGCACTGGCTAGGGATTGACAAAGTGCGACCAACCACTATGAGGGTTCCCCGCAGCTCTCAGATGAGTCATGGAGGCTCAGCACCGTTGGAAGCCCTGCCCAAGACTTCTTCCATCTCCTGTGCAGATGAACTAAGCCCTGAAGTCCTTGAAAGTCTCATTGAAGCCCTTGGGCATTTTGCCTGAGCAAAGGTGAGTGGGAACAGAGTAAGAACCTCAGGATTTGGCCTAAGAGAGTTCTGACTGAGTATAAAACTGGGAAGGGCAGTGATCCTGTGGAATGTCTGGGCAGAGGATGCTGTGAAAGTCACAACTATAACAAGGCTCAAAAAAGATCTAGGTAAGTTCATAGAGGATAGGTCCATCAAAGGCTCTTCACCAGGATGGACAGGGATGGTGTCTGTAACCTCTTTGCCAGAAGCTGGGAATGGGGGAGAGATCACTTGGTGAGGACCTGTTCTGCTCACTCACTCGATGGCACCTGGCATTGGCCACGGTCAGATGACAGGACACTGGGCTAGATGGACCTACACAGCATCACATTTCTAAATAACCCGCTATTCCGGAACAGCCCTTACTCCTCGTGGGATGAGTGTACAGGGACGTCGGAATAGTGAGCCTGTTATCTTTTGAAATAACGGGCATGCTGTGAAGACGCAGGAGAGCTATTTCAGGATACTGCAGTATCCCGAAATAGCATGGCAGTGTAGACATAGCCTTGGTCTGAACCAGTATGGCCATTCTTATGTCAGGTTTGTTATTTATAATGAGAACTTACTCTTGGACGGAGGCTTCTTTTCCTTTAAACCACGGGTGGGCAAAAGGGCCTCCAGGGGCCGGATGCGAGCCTCCAAGCAAGCTGATCTGGCCCGTGGAGGCCCTGCCGCTCCCCCCATCCCCAGACCAATCAGGGCGTAGGGGCGGGGGGAAGCGCGTGAAGTCTCCTCCCGCCCTGCAAGGGGCTCAGCACTTAAAGTCAACTGCCAGCTGCTGCTCAGCTGGTGGTTGACTCTAAGTGTGGTGCTCCCTTGCAGGGTGGGGGCAGGGAGCGAGAGACTTCCCACAGACCAGTGCTTTTTTTTTTAAAAAAAAAAAAAAAGAAAAAAAAACTCACATGGTGCTGGTACTCCTGGGGAAAAGCTGTTAAGCTCTGACTGGAGGTGCTCGTACTGCGTCTGGAGGGCAGTACCATCACAAAAAAAAGCATTGCCACAGACCAATCAGGGTTTGTAGGCAAGGAAGCATGGAAGTGTCCTGGCCCCACCTCTTTTGCTTGAGGCCCCTTCTGGGTGGCCCAGGGTCCTTTAAAAATTTCTGAAGTGGCCCCCAGTCAAAAATTATTGCCCACCCCTGCTTTCAACCCAAACAGTCAGTATTTTGCTATTAAGCTGAAAATCTCAGAAATCACAATGGCTCTTTCCAGAGGTAGAATGGTCTTTTATTCACTGCATACGCAAAGAAGCAATTAATTAGCCTTACAAAACCAGCACTCGCCATCTTGTAGAGCAGCAGGGCCTGGGTACAGAGTATAAATGAAGTTTCAAGTTTTCCCTTTAAATGCCCAGTGTAAAATTGTCCCGGATAAAAGCGGAGCTTGCAGAGGCAGGGCTGTCCTTTTTATGAATAAAATAGATATGAGATTTGTAACTTTGCTGTGCAAATGGGGAAAAGAACTGGCCAGATGGCCCTGTGCCTGCTGGGACACTAACTTTGAAGTGCCCATTGGCACCCAGTACCTGTGTCACTGGTCCACAATGCCACGCTCTTTGCAGCTGATTCATTCCCATCTCTCTGTAATTTGTGCATTAAACAGCCTCCTTCCCTCCGGTCAGTTCTCTCCAGTGAGGCCTTTCCAGTGGGAACCAGCACACAATGAACAGAGGGCTGTAAAAACCCCTTGAAACGTGGCTCTTTGACCTACACATCTTCAGCATCTGAAGGGTTAGCATCAAGGCTGGACCGAAACTGCAAACTTTCTGTAACTTCATCTATGCTCGTACGCCGCCAGACCTGCTGACACCACTCAGCAAGTACTATTAATAACCACCCAGCACGGGGAACAAGTCTACATACTACTGTACTCCTAATCGTAATCTACACCCCCAAAAGTAATTGCTTATCCATGCTGGGAGCCGAGTCAGGCTAACTACACCTACAACTGGTGCTACTCCTAAAAGCCCTTGATGTGGCATGGCTAACACTGAATTCAGCTGCCCGGAAGGCTGCCAGCCTGCTGACGTCTAGGATCATGATAACATTTACCACGGGGTCCTCTGCAGCATGGACAAGCTCTTGGCTTTAAGGCCCACGTTCCCAAAAGTGTCCGCTCAGTTTGGTCGCCCCAAATGAAACACGCCGGCCCCAAAGTCAGTGGGATTAGTGGGTGTATCAGCACTTCTGGAAATCAACGTGTCTTGAGTCATCCAACTGTAGCAGACACTTGCACCATCTGGCCAAAGGTCTCAGCTCCATCCTTCCAGAAATCTCATTGCGGCCCCGATTCACGCGCTTAGCTCTGAGCACGTTCTCAAGGCTCCTTGAAGTCAGTGGAGCCGCAGCCCACGCTGAAGGGCGTTGCTGAATTGGGGCCTGCCCCCAGCCACTGGGGCTCAGAACACGAGGAACCGAAATCAACGGTCTCCTGAAGCAGGGGGAGTTTGGCCAGTGACACCAATGGAACCAAGATCCGACCCTGCAAACTGACCCATCTTAGTAAACGCTTTAAAGGGCAAAAGGCGCTCAGAGGCTGCTGTCACGGGGAGAGCCCCGGACTGATAAAAATCTAGGCACAGGGTGATTAAAGCTCTTGGCTGCTTCACTGGCTTACTTGTGGGGGTGGAGGTCGGACACGCTTGCTATTCCATCACGTCTGCTCTGCATTTCATCTTCTTTTATTCAGGCTCGTGCATAACCCCTCTCAGAACAACGCGATCGCCTCTCAGACACGCCAGCAGCTCTGAGCTTTGCCCTGCGATAGCCTTCTGCTGAAAGCTAGTCTGACTTCGCCAAACCCCATTGGATTCAATGCAGCAAACGTCCCTTTCGCTCACAGGGAAATCACACATTCGGGTGGTTGTTGTTTTTAAATCTAGTAGAACTATTGCATAGGAGCACTGCCCCTACAGCTCACAGGACAGGCCCGCTGTCACTCGACAGGCCTCCCCTCCCCCAGTCTCATTCTGAGGTATCCTTGAAACACAGAGACATTGTACATTATCCATGCCATGAAGGTCCTGTTGACATTAGTGGTGTAAATTACCCAGCAGGCCATGCACCCTGGTAATACAAATAGCACAGAGAGTCAATGCTCTCTGTGCGGGAAGGTCTACTGTACAGTAACACGGCTCCCACACGGAGCTAGTGGCTCAAAACTGGGAGCAAACTGTTTAATAAACTCAGGAGCCTCTGGGTTTGATAAGTCACATCTCATGTTTCAAAAGGGGGTGAATTAAAGCGATGGAGAGGAGGTACTAAAACCCTAGGGTACGTCTACACTGCACGGCTATTTTGGGATACCAAAGGTACCCCAAAATAGCTACCCCGCATCTACACAAGCCTCCCATTATTTCGAAATCGTTTTCAAAATAATGGGCACGCTATTTCACCATCCTGGTAAACCTCATTGCACGAGGGATAAGGGATGGTTCGAAACAGCATGTTATTTGGAAATTTGGTGCAGTGTAGACGCGCCAAAGTTCAAAATAAGCTATTTCGAAATAGTTTTGAAATAAGATACACAATCTGCATAGGGCAAATGGCATATCTTATTTCGAATTTAGGGTGCAGTGTAGCTGCACCCGGAGAGAGAGGGGGCTCCCAACAAAATGGCAGATTGAGCTGCAGGGACATATGCCTGTCTGTGAGTCTGTCTGCCTGTCTGTACACTAAACCCCAGGCTAGATTCTCAGCTGGTGTCAATCAGCATAGCGCCTTTGACTTTAACGGAACGACACCAATTTACACTAGCTGGGGCTTTGCCCCCAATAACCTTAGGAAGCACCATCAGTTCTCTCTACATCAGTGGTTTTCAAGCGAGGGGTGGAATGTCGGGTGCTGGGTCTCCTTGTTGCAGGGGGATCAGGTGAGCAGTGGGGGTGCTAAGGCAGCTCCCTGCCTGGCCTGGCCCCACAGCCTGCGCTGCGCCCCAGAAGCAGCCAGCAATAGGCTCAGCTCCTGAGGGGGGTGGTGCACAGAGCTCTGCACAAGGTCCCTGCCCCAAGCACTAGCTCAACTCTCTCATTGGCTAGGAACCTGCTGCTGGCTGCTTCTGGGGTGCCGCGTGGTCTGGGATGCCCAGGAGAGGCAGGAAGCTGCCTTAGCCCCCCTGCTGCACCACTGATGGGGAGCTGCTCAAGGTAAGCTCCTCCGGCCCTAGCTCACCCCCCTTCCCCTGTATGCAGGAGCCCCCTCCTACACCGAAAAGCTCTCATCCTCATCCCCACCCCGGAGCCTGCACTCTAGTCCCTGAGTGGGCAAACAGGCCTGCCACTCCCCTGCCCCCAGGCCAATTAGGACCTGGGGGCGGGGGAGTGCGCAAAGTTTCCTGTGCTCTGCCCCGGCCCTGTGAGCGGTGTGCGGTGTTTAGAAGCACCACGTGCTCCTGGCAGGGCAGGAGGAGACTTCACGCGCTCCCCCACCCTCAGGCCCTGATTGGCCCAGGGGGCAGGGGAGCACGGGAAGCCTCCTCCTATGCCAGGGACATGGGCACCTAGGGGAAACCTGGGGGGGGGGGAGCAAAGGCGCTCCCCCACCAATCATGGTCTGTGGGGGGGGAATTGGAAGTGTCTTGGCCCCACCCCTTCTGTTTGAGGCCCCGCCCCTTCTGGTGCAGCCCGGGGCCACTTCAAAAATTTCTGAAGTGGCCCTCAGCAAAAAATTATTGCCCACCCCTGCTCTAGTCAAATTACGTTGGATCGCAGGGATCAACAATTTTCTTCAACTGGGTCAGGAGAAAAAAAAGTTTGAAAACCGCTGCTCTACAGCCCACAGCCCAATGCAAAATACAACCAGCCGCCTATTTTTTCCTCAACGCCCGGCCCAACCCTGCTCCCGCTGAGCTCTGGGGGCATTTTGCCAGTGACCTGTGTTAGCCACAACTGTGTCGGAGTTGGTTCCTGATTAACATAGGCTCAGCCCTACTGGGGAAAAGGATAGTGTCAAAACCAACTCTACTGCTGGAAAGCAACAGGTTAGCTGGCTATAAACCCTGTGTGACTCACAGACCCGGACTCTCAAGCTGCAATAGTAGTTCAGAGCATTTTCTTACAGTAGCTCGGGCTCCTCCCTTTGCCGAGAAAGAGAGCGAGAGAAACCTGAAGTGAAACATTCCCTTGAACTACGGTGAAGCACTGTCCTCTGTTAACTAGTGTTTCGTCTGTGTCTGGTGAGGACAGTCCCAGCAGACGTACTTAAATACCCCCCCAAAATAAATTATTCTTCCACTCCCCAAGCGGAACAAAAAGCCCCGGTGTAAAACAAAGCACTAAATTCAGTGCCAAGCTATGATCAGAAGAGAGAAATGGCAGAGAACACTACAGGGAGCAGGTGTAGTTGTTGAGACTACAGGAAACTCGATTTGGGGAATGATCCGCCCCCTACAGAGGAGACTCAAACAGGCAATGCAGTCAGGGCATTGCTCACAAAGCCTGTTATACAGAGGTAGCGGGTTCTGAAGCCCATCCAGTACAAAATTGGTGAATGTGGATTTGAGCCTCCACTACTGATCCCAATGGGAGTTGCTACACAGGGGCAGGATCAGAGCCCGCGTGTCCAAGTGAAAAGCGAGTATGATGCATGATAATTACTAAAGAGCATTTTTTTTCCCTGCCAGGAAGATCAGAGCCCGCGTGTCCAAGTGAAAAGTGAGTATGATGCATGATAATTACTAAAAAGCATTTTTTTCCCTGCCAGGAATATCCCCCAAAATTGCACCCCCAAGAATCTTCAAGCCATGCTCTAAAATGCAGCCAGCTCTGGGGTAGAACCCAGCAGCAGTTTAACAGCGCACAGCAACAGGGCAAAACAGGAAGTGACGAATAACTGAATTAATTTGATTACCCCTGTAGGATGGGGAAGACCTCACAAGCGCAGTGTACAGTTATAGCTAGTTAACACCCACCGCGCTGATGCTGCCTTTGTCTTCTGCGAGCTAAGAGCCACATTTGGCTCCCTGCTAATCCAGTGTCACTCCAGAGTCAGTTGCTGAGCTCAATGGAATAAGTCTGGATTACTCTGGTGTAGCAGGGAGCCAAATTTGGGCTTCCCGTTCCAAGGTACCAGATGAGAGCAGCATGTTATTTTTCTCTGCATTTGGCTAGAGGCTCTGGGACAGGTTGGGGCCTTTACTTACAGTTTAAAGGGAAATCAAGCAATCATAGAGCATGCTATCGGAGGCAACAGCTGCCCACGGAAGGCAGTGTCTAACTGGAGTAGCCAGAGGGTCCATTTACAAGCAATGCCTCTTTAAAGCAGCAGCCATTTGGGATATAAACGCTAGCCAGGGGGAGAACAATATGGGCTGGTTAATGGCCATGCTGCTGAGTGCCTTGAATGCACCTGACTCTGGTGCAAGAGCATCACAGCCCGCCATGCTACCTTCTCAGGGACATGTGATGACAGGGCAGGGGTGGGCGGGTGTAAGAGTGTGATGGGACAGGGCAGAATCCCCGCTGAGTTGGTTCATCTTAGAGCAGCGGTGGTCAACCCATTACAGATGAAGAGCCAAAATAGTGGTGGATACAGCACAAAGAGCTGAGGGAAAAAAGTTGAGGCCACCGTTTGGTTGAGCCTTTTAAGGGCAGCCATTTTGAAGTCTGCACCGGTGTCCCATGCAGGCAGAAACACGCTGCCCCTTTCAGAGCCCCGAGTGCGGGAGCTGCAATTTTTTCTTTGAAGAGCCAGGCTGATCTTAGAGCTTCTCCGAAAACTTTCCCGGAAGAGGCAGCGTGGAATGCTCCCCGGATGGCAGGGATGCTACGGCTTGCAGGGGAAAGCTTGCAACCTGCCCGTGCAGCAGTAATATGGGTGGCTGCAAGCCACCTGCTTTTTTCGCATGGGCCTATATGTGAATGTTGGGGCAGGACAGGAAAGAAAACCTGCTTTTTTCGCATGGGCCTATATGCGAATGTTGGGGCAGGACAGGAAAGAAAGAAAAAAAAGAGGACGGGATCCTGCGTGGAGAGGCTGTAAGAGCAAGAGCACCGAAGGAGGTTTAAGACTCCAAATCAGAATCTGAGCACCTGAGTAAGGGACCTTCCTTCATGCCAGTTCTTGCATGTCGCAGTTTAAAGGGGAAGGACAAGCAAAATCCTGCTCAGCTGCAGGAACGTTGCCCTCATTGCCGCCGAGGGGAAGAAACTCTAACTCCCCTTTTCTGCCAGCGAAAGGGTGAGTGGTAACAGGAAAGGGGGGGGGGGGAATCCCTATGAAGCTGAGGAGCGGATCTGGCTCGAATCCCTTTAACAACGCAGCCGCTGCCTCCAGCTATACCAGAGCCATGGGGAGGCCGTGCTTTCCGTGCATTAGGACTTGATCCAAAATCCAGTCAAGAGCACGGGAGTCTCTCCATTAACTTCTGTGGCCTTCAGAGCAGGTCTCCAGAGGGTTTGTTATTGCCTTAAATTACTTTTGTGCTGTCACGGGGGTTTTGCTACACGGCAGTAATTCCTGACTTAGCTGCCCCGATCTATAACTCTAAACTAAAGCAACACAAAGGATCAATTAGTTCCTAACTCAGTCCATTCCGGCATCTGCATTAGATCATAAGTCCCTACATTAGCAAACTACACCCTTAAAGTCAGCATCACAGAGCAGCACTAAAGACTTGGAATGCACAAAAAGCCAGACTAACCATCAGGGCCAATAGGCACCCATCCGGTCACCTCACTGGGAACTGGCTGAACAGTGCACTCTGGAAAGGGAGGAAAACATCTCAGCTGGGAGGGTAGGAGCTTGCCCCGTGTTCCTAATTCACCTTTCAGAAGCCAAGTATCCATAATGCAGAGCTCCTGAGCTTCTGGGATGGGTACCTCTTCCATCTCTTCTCAGGCAATTCCCAGACGACGTTCCCTCTAATCTTTTCCCTCCATGTGCAGATTTTTTCCATCCATGTGCAGAATAATTTTATGTGCACTGACACATGTGCGAATGGGCACCACTGGTAGAAATCAAACCTAGCTGTGAGTGCTGTGCTAATCAGCTGGGCAGCATCTGAATATTTTCTGAGCGGCCGTACAAGTGCCCCGCTTACAGGGAATACTGTTCCCGGAGTAGCCGGCCTAGTGAAATCCTGGCCCATCACATGTTCCCCAGCAAAACCCCAGGATCTTGCTGGGTAGGAATGGGTTGGTCCTACCAGCTTGTCAAGCAGCACTCGAAGAGTCAGCTGAGATGTAAGTCACAGACACCTGGTTTTTCAGATCTTTGGTGCTGGGTATCATCTAGGCTGGGCAGGGCAGCTAATCACATAACATGCTCCCTCCCCTTGAAACCTGTATCTTCTAGTTGCAATGTGCAAGACTTGCAGCCTGCGATTCCTCCATTTGGGGATCTATTTTGGAGAGCCAGGTGTCACCCCCTGCCCCTTGGATTTGTAGTTTGGAAAGTTCACCAAGGAATTGATAGAAGAGTTGATCAGTATCACATCAGAACGGGTTTCCACTGCATTTGAAAAGTTTCCGTGCCAGGAGGAGGCGGCTCCAAAGGAAGGCACCTGGGGCGAGGGGGAATTCTACAGCGCCTCCCCTTCCAGAGTCCCCGTGAGTTTCTCTTCGTCCGTTTGCTTCTGCTGCTGCTGGATTCTTGCATAGGAAATGGCATCCCCTCTGCAGAGAGAAGGGACAGCATTAGAACGCAAGCCGTGCGAGGTCAGGACTGTTCGGTGCACGTGCTGATCCAGAGCAGGGCCTCCTGGTGCTACTGGAATACAAAGAGTAAATAAGAACTGCGGTGAAACACTCAACAGTCCGCAAGGTAGGACGGGCAGGAGGAGGATTGGGAATGAAAGGAAGGATAAATATGGCAGAGGTGGGGAACCTCAAGGCCAGGGGACGGATGCAGCTCCCGGCTTCCCTGGATCCGGCCCGCAAGGCTCAGGGCTCCCTTGCCAGCATTGGGGAGACTGAGCTAGCACTCCTGCCCCCCCCATCCCCTCCCGCAGAGTTGGAGCACACAAAATCAACTAGCCTGAGCCCCACTAAATTTCTCACTTGTGTGCAGCCCCCGACTGATTTTTCTGCATAGCGCAAATTGCGTAGCTTATTTCGAGGTAAGGGTGCTCTGTAGACGCACCCTGTGTCTCCTAGGCTACGTCTAGACTACGGCGCTATTTCAGAACGGAGGCGCTAGTCCGGTGTCCCGACCAACCCTCATTCCACAAGGGTTAAGGGACTGGTCGGAATAGCGCTTTATTTTGAAATGACCTCGAAATAAGCTACACAATTTGTGCCAATCGTGTGGCTTATTTCGAGGTGAGGGTGCTGTATAGACGCACCCCTAGGCTGTGTCTACACTGGCAAGTTATTCCAGAAAATCAGCCGCTTTTCCGGAAAAACTTGCCAGCTGTCTACACTGGCCGCTTGAATTTCCGGAAAAGCACTGATGATCTAATGTAAAATCATCAGTGCTTTTCCGGAAAAACTATGCTGCTCCCGTTTGGGCAAAAGTCTTTTTTCCGGAAAACTGTTCCAGAAAAGGGCCAGTGTAGACAGAACAGTAGTGTTTTCCGCAAAAAAGCCCTGATTGCGAAAATGGCAAAAAGTGCTTTTCCGGAAAAGCGTCCTGCCAATCTAGATACTCTGTTCCGAAAATGCTTTTAATGGAAAACTTTTCCGTTAAAAGCATTTCCAGAAAATCATGCCAGTGTAGACGTAGCCCTAGTGTGCTCAGAAAGACATTTGCTTTAAGATTTGCCCCCAAATCCTGCTACACAAACTGTTTGCATGAACCGTGACGGCTACAGGTACAATCATACACCACCCATGCAGGGCCCAGCCTCAGCGCACACTGACTGCCCAGCAGCCCCACTGAGGCACAGGGAGGCAGGGTCACCCCATACTCCGTGTGGAAGAAAGCACGTCCTCCCTTACTTTTTGCCCAGCGCCGACAGGCCGTACAGCACCCCTGTTGCAAAAGCAATCGCGTTTCCCAGGAACGTGGTCAGCGTCAGACTGAGTATGACTGGAAAGACGGCCATCCTGCGAGAGAGAGAGACGACATCAGCCATGAAACAAGGCACCCGGGGCAAATTCCTGCCCTGGGAGGGTAATGAAGGGTTCCCAGGACTCTGTTTCCGCACAAGGATTTCTTTAGGCCACTTGGTATCAATAGCACCCATCACATCAATGTCTCCTCCACCCCAACAGCAATTCAACTACCAGCACTGCCCAATACTTACATCAGAGCCATGCCTGGGAGGTTCCAAAGGGGTAAAGAAAAAGCTCTGACAAACGCTAGAGCAAACAAGCACTGCCCAGTATTCACCTTTTGCTAAAGGCAGAAAAGGGAGGCTGAGGGCTACACCCTGCACCTGCTTTCCAATGACTCATGCTTCCTCTAGGTCCCAAACTGTACACAAGATCGAGCTGGTATTTCCAGGGTCACTACACCTTTAACCCAGACAATTCTTTTTATTATAGTCTTTTGGTCATGCTTTAAGCCTGCAGCTCATGCGAATGTTCAAACTCAGACCCATAATTAAGGGTCTACCAAATACGCAGCCAGGAAAATCATGTCATGGACTGCGAAATCTGGTCTCTAGATGCCCAATTGTGAAGGAAGAGCGAAGAGCAGTGACGGCTGCCTTATTGGCCAGCTCCGAAGGCAGAGTGGCCAGCCAGCAGCAGTGGAGATGGAGGGGTGGCATGGTATTGCAATACCAGGCTACCCTCGCTTTTGAAACAACAACAACAACAACATGGTTCTGGGAGGCATTAACAGGAGTGTTGTGAGCAAGACATGAGAAGTCATTCTTCTACTCTACTCTGTACTGACTAGGCCTTAATTGGGGTATTGTGTCCAGTTCTGGGCACCTCATTTCAAGAAAGATGTGGAGAAATTGGAGAGGGTCCAGAGAAAAGCAACAAAAATGATGAAAGGCCTAGAAAACATGAGCTATGAGGGAAGGCTGAAAGAATTGGGCTTGTTAAGTTTAAAAAAGAGACGTCTGAGAGGGAAAATGACAGTGGTTTTCAAGTACCTAAAAGGGAGTTACAAGGAGGAGGGAGAAAAAGTGTTCTCCTTGGCCTCTGATGACAGGACAAGAAGCTTAAACTGCAGCAAGGGAGGTTTAGGTTGGACATTAGGAAAA